GAGGGAAAGAGAAAGTGGGAGCGGAAGAGGAGCAAAATCAGGTTAGAATTATAGAGGAATGCGAATCCATGAAGCACAGGGAATTGGGTTTGGAGAATCTGGAGGAAGTTGAAGTGAACATGGAGGTAGACAAGGCCAGATTAAAAAACGGTGCTACGATGGTGCTACTGAATCAGCACCGCCCGAAATACCATTAGTTGTTGCAAGTGGGAGTTTTCCTTTGGAGGTGGCTGGACAAACCTCATCTTCTTTCCTGATGGTTGGTGAAATTGGAATGACATCTTTGGTGGTGGTAGATCAAACATCTTCTCCCTTGCTGGTGGCTGGTAAAAGCAGGACTTATGATTCTTGTGTTCCTTTTCAGGTTTTTGAATTCTAGTTTTTCAGGTACAACGATACTGTTAGAATAGCCTACTATTGTGCGCAGTTAACGACCTGGTCTGGCCTTCCGTAGCTAGCTAGTTCTATTTCTCATGGGCGGAGGGAGATAAGGGGTGGCCAACCTAAAAATATCTATGGTTTCATTGAGTCCAGGAAAATCTGCTCTAACTAGCTAGGTCTTCTTCAATTGCACACTAATTACTTAAAACACATAAAGGCATCGTAATCTCCTCTCAATTTCTCAAAATCCCTCCCCGATAAAGGTATAAAATCGAGTATCTGCTGTAACTAGCTAGTTCTTCTTCAATTACGCGTCTTGGAGCAGGTAGGGGGTCTGGCCGCCTGACACGAGATGAGGATCTGACCTTAGAGCTGCTAAAGATGGGATTGAGTTTCTATAGGGAACAGACATCCATGGAACTGAGCAATTTGTTCAAGTTTCTGCGAAGGGATAGACATCCATGCGTACCCAAGAAAAGTTCCATTTTTTTGAAAATGATTTACATTTTCATTTATCTAAAGTTACATATCAATTAACATGAGTTGCATGTCAACTTTCCTCAGCAAGTGACATCTTGCTTACAAGTGATTTACAATTTTCATAAGGTGAGTTACACCACAATATAATGCGAGTTACACAACAAAATAAGCTTCTGCTATTAAAAGAAAAATTATTTTTATAAAAAACAACTTTATAGAAATAAAAATATAAAGTGTTTTTATAAAAATAACTTGTATAAAAACTATATTTCAAGTGGTATAACAAGTTGAGAGATTAAAACAAGTTACATATTCCAAGCGCATGAGTTACATTTGAATACACTGAATTTATATTTCACAATAGCGCGAGTTACATATCAATACACAGGATTTACATCATGAAAAAAGTTGAGACAAATGTAATGGTACTGTTTACGCGATTTTTTTAAGTTAAAGCTTGAATCTAAATGACACCTTTTTATATGTGGGAGTATGATGTTCAACCCGTAACAACTAGGAAAAAACGGGACATGAATAGGGATGGCAACATGGCGGTTCGGAGCCGGGTATACCATTACCCGTACCCGCACCGAAAGTTAACTTATTATCCCCGTACCTGTCCCGTTCCCCTTTGGGGAATTGGTTACCCGAACTGTACCCAGTTAAAACGGGGAGCGGTTTTTCCCGCGGGTAACCGCATTATTAAAAAATATTTTTGTTCTTCTAAATAGTATTACTATGAAACAATCACTTGGCCATTGAATAACATTCGATAAAAACCACAATGTATATTGTGGTGTAACTCACCTTATGAAATATGTAACTCACATTCGATAAACAATTTCACTTGGCCATTAAACGTCAAAATATAAATTACAAAAATATTCACTAATCAAAAGTTAAAATACACATTCCTACAACATTCAAAAGTCAGAATTTCAATAATATCTTCCAACATTGAAAAACATGGTACGGACATTTAAAAGTCTAAATTCCAACAATAATTAATGTCCAAACTCAACAATAGTTAATGTATCCAAGTAACATGGCAAAACAACACTGTAAATCTCAAATTTCAAAGCAGTAATGTATTCCAACATTCAAAACACATTCCAACAACATTTAAATGCCTTGAATCTCTTGAATCATCCTTCAAGTCTTCAACACGATAAAGTGTAATCAACTTAGAGTCTACAATTAATATAAAAACTATTAGCTAATAAAGAAAATGTAATAAGGATTTTGATTATGAAATATTGAGGCATACCTTTTATTTGAAGTAGAAGATAAATAACAGGCTGATCATAGTATTACAATATACAAACTGTTATTTGAACTCTGCACTTTCAGAACTCTGCACTTTAGCCTTTAAAAAATCTGCACCCATAATTATTTTTGAAAACTTAATGTAAAATTAATGTTGCTAATTACAAGAATTACACAAACTAATTAAATCTAAATATAAACTATAGATAAACACAAATGACTTGCAACACTACACTAAACTGAAATTAAACAAAAGTAATCACAACTAATTATAGCAATTATACATTTATACAAACAAAAACACAACAACATTAGGTAAGAACGAAAACTGATGCAAAGGTTCTATCACTTATATAGTAAAATAAGCACAATAACACGGAACAAGGTACTGTTAATAGCAAACTAAAGTGTAAAATTTGAATTCAAAGATACAAGAGAAGACAACTTGATAATATTGATACCAATATAATGAAAAAAAACTAAGCCTTGTATCCCCTGTTGTTTCTCTTACCCTTAGCCCTCTCAAACTTTCTTCCCTTGGCACGCACATATGGCTTGTAGAAGATTACCTGTTATAGACGAAGGAGATTTGGTGATGAAGAACAGCAGATAACCTGGATGGCTGGATGGACACTGTTCGTCGAGTTCGGATGAGTGAAGGTCGAGGGATCCGATTAGCACTCTCTGGCATCTGGCTGAGTGAAGGTCGAAGGAGCGAACATAGCTGACGGCCGAGTGAAGGTTGAACTCTGGTCGATTAGCCTCTCCAATCTAGCGATTAGCAGACAAGGTTTCCTAAGATGCTTCTGTACCCGCCTCGCTCCCCGTTTTAAAAAATCGAGTATTCCCCCGCCCCGTACCCGTTACCCAGTCCACACGGTTTTCCCCATTTTGACCGGTTCGGTTCGGGCGAGTATCCATCGGGTCGGGTTAGATTGTCATCCCTATTTAAAATTGAGTTTAATGAAAAATGTATGAACTTCTCAATTTTGCATGCCTTTCTATCTTCCCCGTATTTCATCTACTGAATCATTGAAGTCAAAATTTGTGAAATTGTTTCGATCTCTTGGAGGTGTATGTAATTTACTGCAAAAATTTCAACATCACATCTCCCATGTCGTAAGCTTAAGCATCACAAAAACACTCAAGAATCCAGATTATTAAGCATCAAATCAAAGTGTAAACATTACACCACTTATAGTACGTACTATACTACATACAACCCAAAAACTTTCCACATATTCTAAAGTTATACTAATCGGTTCTGGTGCTAACACACATATGGCTAAGTTTCCCTTTTATAATTCAACAAGAGTACGAAGTAAATTAATGTAGAAAGGACCCACGTGTTCTTCCGGCTAATTAACTAACCCACTCCACCTAACCGCCAAGTTAGCGAGTAGTCCATTCTTATACTCAACCCATTTTTGTTTAGCTATATTTCACTTTTGTAGTCAAAAATGAATTTGATCCATTTTTTTCATTATTGTTTTATTGCGAAAATTAATAAAATTTAACCCCTTCCGTCCCGAATTGAATTGCAAGCTTTGACCGGCACAAAGATTTATATAATTTTTATGTTATCAATGCTACCATATATAGATATATAATCGTCAAAATTTAGGGAAAACACAGATAAGAGACCTATATATGGATTGTTTGAGCCATTTTCATGTAGGGGCACATGTTTCATTTTTTAACAAAGTAAGACATGTGTTTCAATTTCATTATCACACGAGGGACATGGTTCTTAACGCCTTTAGAAATGGCCGGATGAAGATGATGAATAGTAATTCCTATATATTCTCAAAAGTGCGCGAAAAATTATAAGAAAAATACTAGAAGATGCGTCTCATCAATGAGACCTCCTGATCATCTTTCTTTCATGTTTCTAGCTGCCCTTGTTGCCAGAAAGTCTACCAGAAAAATGATGTGAATGATTTCGTTTTTAAAATATAATCTAAGTAGAGTCGAAAAATCGAAAGAGGAAGATAGTTTGGCCTGAGGGTCTCCTTGATGATGCACACCTCCTTGCATTTTTCTATTACTTTTTCGTGCACTTTTAAAAATCGAAGTTATTGTTCATGGTCTTCTTTTAAAGATTACTAGTGTCCCTCTTGTGAACGGGTTCGAAATACACGTCATACTATATTAAAAAATGAAACAAAATCCTCTATTTGAAAATGGGCCAAGCCGTAAGTACTTTTTCGATATTTGAAAATGGGCCTAATATTTTATACTCCTTCCGTTCCTTAAAATTTTGCCAAGTTTGATCGGCACGAGGATTAATAAAATAAAAACTGTGTGCTTGAGGTTTGTACAGGGGAGAGAAAATTAACTGCTACCACAAATTCTTTACTTAAAGGGGAAAGTGGCAAAGTTAGTGGGACATCCAAAAAAAGAAAGTTGACAAAGTTTTAAAGGACAGAGTGAGTACTCTGTATCTTTCATGTGATAATTTGAAAAATCAAATTTAGCTAAATACTTAGCACTACATCCGTTATCTTTTAATCGCAACATTGGACTTTTTGCACTATTCACATATTCTACTTTGACTATATTTTATTTATTCGATGTATTATAAATTAAATTTTAAAATAATATTTTTAAAATTTTCTAAATCTGATTTTTATGTTTTTACTAATAAGGAATGAAAGATATTAATGATTAAACTTGTGTGTTGGCAAGCGTGAAAAGTGAACCGTTGTAATTAAAAAAGAACGATTTTTATGTTTTTACTAATAAGGAATGAAAAATATTAATGATTAAACTTGAGTGTTGGTTAGCGTGAAAAGTGAACTGTTGTAATTAAAAAAGAACTAACACATTATTAAGATAGAGACTACAAAAAAAAAAAAACTATATATACCTAGCACCTCACTGCCTTCAAAGACACACTCTTCACGCTAAAAAAAAAAAACTATATATAACTAAACGAAGCCGTAATGGGTTCCCAGGGCTCCGCCTCGGACATATCCCTGCCACATGTGTTGCTCGTGTCCTTTCCCGGTCAAGGCCACGTCAACCCACTCCTCAGGCTCGGCAAGCGGATGGCCAGCAAGGGCCTTCTCGTCACTTTCTCCGCCCCCGAATCCGTCGGACGGGATATGAGAAAAGCCAACCCCAACCTCGCCTCCGCCGAACCCACCCCCTACGGCCGAGGCTTCGTCCGGTTCGAGTTCTTCGACGACGAGTTTGACCACGCCGAGCCCAAGGGTGAGGATCTTAACTTGTACATGGACCATCTCAGGCGGGTTGGGTCCCACAAGATCACTCTCATGATCGAGAAGCACAAAGAGGACGGCCGCCCCGTTTGCTGCCTCATCAATAACCCTTTTATTCCCTGGGTGTCCGACGTGGCAGAGAGCCTCGGGATTCCCAGCGCTATGCTTTGGGTCCAATCCTGCGCTTCGTTCTCCGCTTATTACCATTACTTCCACAAGCTTTTTCCCTTCCCGTCCCTGTCCGAGCCTGAAATTGATGTCCAGTTGCCATGCATGCCGCTGTTAAAGTACGATGAAGTCCCTAGTTTCTTGCACCCTTCCAGCCCGCTCCCGTTCTTGGCCAGGGCTATTTTGGGGCAGTTCGAAAATTTGTCCAAACCATTCTGCATACTAATGGACACGTTTCAAGAACTCGAAGGAGACATTCTCGAACACGTGTCCGAGATTTGCCACGTCAAGACTGTGGGCCCGCTATTCAAAGACCCCACACACCAATCGCCAAAGCAAGTGGTCAGTGCTGACTTCGTGAAAGCCGACGACTGCATCGGCTGGCTCGACTCCAAGCCGCCGGGATCCGTCGTGTACATTTCCTTTGGCAGCATCGTCGTATTGAAGCAAGACCAAGTCAACGAGATCGCTCACGGCTTGCTGAGCTCCGGCGTGAGTTTCTTGTGGTCGATGAAGCCGCCGAGCAAAGGGTCGGCTTTCAAGCCGGTGAGCCTGCCGGAATGGTTCGTAGAGAAAGCCGGGGAGAACGGGAAGGTCGTGCAGTGGACCCCACAAGAGCTCGTGCTGGCCCACCCTTCGGTGGCCTGCTTCGTGACTCACTGCGGGTGGAACTCCTCTGTGGAAGCCCTCACCATAGGAGTGCCCATCGTGGCCTTCCCGCAATGGGGAGATCAAGTCACCAACGCCAAGTTCCTTGTGGATGTGTTCAAGACGGGAATCAGGCTGGGTAAAGGTGAAGCGGAAGATCGGATTATTCCGAGGGAGGAGATTGAGAAGAGTTTGGTGGAAGCAACGGTCGGCGAGAAGGCGGCGGAGATGAAGGAGAATGCGTTGAAGTGGAAGAAGAAGGCGGAGGAGGCGGTGGAACACGGCGGCTCGTCCGACCGTAACCTGCAGGAATTTGTGGACAAGATACTCTCGTTATCATCGGGAGATTGTACGATGTTAAAGTAAAAAATAATTTAACCACCCTTTAATTTATAATAATAATAATAATTTCCTAACGAACGGACGATTAATATATACGGAGTAATTAAGTTGAGGTGATGGGGTCACATGTTAATGATACTAGAGTAAGGTTGTTTTCTGTAATTCGTCCCAGACCAAAACAGATCAGACCAGATCAGATAAGACCAGACCATATTTTATTATTATTATTATTATTATTATTATTATTATTATTATTATTATTATTATTATTATTATTATTATTATTATAATCATCATCATCGTGATCATCATCATAATCATCGTCATCATCATAATCATCATCATCATTATCATTGTTATTGTTATTATTATTAATATTATTAGTATTATTACTATTATTACTATTATTATTTTTAATTATAAATGAATAAAATATAATTATTTATGGATTATAATATATATAAAAAATAAAATCTTTATGTAAAAAATATAAAAAATAAAATTTCAGACCAGACCATATATTATCATCATCATCATCGTCATCATCATCGTCATCATCTTCGTCGACATCATCATCTTCGTCATCATCATCATCATCATCATTGTTATTGTTATTATTATTAGTATTATAACTATTATTACTATTATTATTTTTAATTATAAATGAATAAAATATAATTATTTATGGATCATTCTCCACCAAAACACTTAAAATTTAATTTCAATTTTTATTTTCTTCAATCTATTTTTTATTCTTTACCAATTCATAACAAATATGTAATGAGCATATTGCATTTCATAAGCATACACTATTATTTCTGTAATATATTTTTATAAATCGGAATTTAAATAAATATAGAGTATTTTTTAAATTTGGGTCCCTCTAAATTGATTTGATTTGCTGGATTTGTTTGCGTTCTTCGTATGGCTTGGCGATTAAGAGAAAGTCATCAAGTGAGTTGGCGGCTTTGCTAATTAGGGTTTGTTCCAGCAGTATTTTAAGAATTATGTGGCAAATATTTTTAACGCAACAATATTTTAAGAATTACATATTTAATTAGCATTTATTCGGGAAAAAACTCAAAGGAAGAATTTAGGAAGAATCATTGTCTCATTAATAAAAGGATGACACCGCATCCCAGAGGACCCTCCAAGAATTGACTGGACAATTATTTAGGAGAATATAAGTTGAACTTTTATCGCACTCTTATGAAAAAATAGTGGAGTTCCATCTCAAATTGTTGCTTAAAGTTGAACGTATGATTTCTTCGTGTGACATCCTCTTCTGAGTTATGCCCCTTAGAGCATCCACACTCATGCTTCTAACATAATCTGATTTTTTGTGATTCTTACCTTTTAATATTTGCCACATAATTGTTTTAGAAATAATCTTGTCCCCTCTAAATTACCTTCAACCATCATCCCGAAATAATCTAATCTTTTGTGGGTCATTTATTAACTAATTAACTCTTACTTCACAAATAATCTCAAAATAATCCGGTTTCATATTTTGATCTCAGATTATTCTATCAATTAATCATGTCAAATAATCTCTCTCACTCAACCATGCTCCCCAAAATAATATGTCATGTCACTAGAATAATCACTTAATAATCTCATGGATGGTGATGTCCTTGTATATCATCGTGTCATTAATTAATACACCTCATAAAGAGGGTTTTAAAAATTAGTCATGACTTTACACCTCTGACTACGTTACTGAATCGTTTTCATATAACGATCAATTTGTAAAAGTGCTCGAATAGTTTATAAAATTAGGAACATTACTTTTGTTTTTTAATTGAAATGAATTGTATTAAAATACTCCGTACTGAAAACGATTATTTGAATAATTACCATCGATTTGATCACAATTCACAATTTTTAAAATTAGACATAGAGATTCACTTTTGAAAAAATTCAATGACTAGGTAACCATAAAACGGACAACATGAAAACCTATAATAACGAAATTGTTAATCTTTCTTTAAAAAATCGGTAGGTAAACCACACATTAATGAGATGAATATGTTGGAGAACATTTACCGAGTTTTATTAAAATAAGATAAAGGGAGTACAAATCAAGAGAGGGGCTCAACCAAGACCTCTTGGAGAAAACATACCTCCTCAAAATACAATATAACAATTAAAAAGGAATAAAGCATATAAATTGAAGGGCTAGCCCTAACCCAATAAAAAACAGATTAAGTAAATCTAAGAGAGGGAATAATAAACTTAAAGTTGTATTGTGAAATTTAAATAATGTTTTAGTCTCCCATTTAGGACAATTACTTTACATTTAAATATGACTCTTGGTTAGTGGAAGCATTTTTAAATATTCAGGGATATGGCAATGTCTCGAACAAACCGGCCGGATAGAAATGAGGTCTTGAAATTTTAATTTATTATATACTCTTGGTGACTTGATATACGAAAAAGATATTTATCTATATATATGTTGATATCTTTTTCATCGACTCTCCCATCATTCTGATTCCTAAGTTATCATTTTCCTTTCAAATGTTTTTGACATCATTGTATCAAATCACGCTTTAGTGAAGTTATTTTCATATTTATAATAAGGTCGGTGATGGTATCATGGATCCTAACCATAGCCCAATTACGAAGTTCAGAGCAGGATTAACCTAATTAACAGGATTAGCCCATAAACGGGATCAAGCCCTGAACGAGATTCATATTGAGTAAGCCGCTTGGCCCGATTAGGGATCAGGCCCACGATAGGAACCCACAGTCATGCCGGGCTGGACAGCAGACCTCGAGCCTGGACGGAGTTCCAGTGAGGGCAGGATATTCCTAGGGTTTACGTGGCAGGCTATCGTTTAAGCATAGCTATTTGGCAGCAGACAGGACTCAACCGGAGACGTAGACTTGAAGGAGATAATCAGTGCACAGTAGCCAAATCGCTATAGGAGTTCCATTCGGACTAATGTACAATTAATAGCATTTAATGTAGTGGTTTCCTCCTAGAATACTAACTCCTAAAGTCTATAAATACTTCCTGTAAATACCCTGTAAAGGGATCAGTAAATCATTCTTCCGAACAATAATAATACTGCCTTACACTGCCATATTTTGATATCTTAGTAGATTTAACTCTCGTAGTTGGATTAAACTCCATCAGCTAGCTAGCTTATCGATCAGGCTGAACACGTGTTCACTAAATGTAACATTATCTCTTTTTTAGTTAATTCCCAATCTATAAGTAAAACATGATATATCAAAGGCAGATTGTAGGAGCAGTAGTTTAAAAATTTCCGAAATAGAAGTTTTCAAACAAGTTTTTAAAAATCGCAAAACTTTTTTGTGATTAAATAAAAATACCCCTGTAGGTATACCTAGCCCACTGCCACCTGCTGCCGCCGGCCGGCCGCTTAAGGACTTTCCAAGAAAACTATGTGGCAATTTTTTGATCATGAAAACTATGGGGCAATTAATTAACTAGAATATGAGTACTAGGGATAGAAAAATTAATGTTTACTCATATTTAGGAAAGATTAGAGATGTGCCTATATTTAGGGGGAAATGCAACATATTATGTTTTACCGCTATTTAAATCAATTACTTATACAATTTCCTTTCATTGTTTGTTAGAAACAAAATCTTATTAACTACATACATACATAATATATATGTCTAGCATTTTTTTTACTTCAAGTGGCGTCTGGGGAAAGGGGGGTTGGGGGAGCTTGGAGTAATCTAAGCTGAAACTCACTTCATTGAATTTCGAACCCAAGATCTTCCGTAAGGGAGTGTGAGTCGGCGACCAGCTGATCTGGGCCGCTTCCTCATATGTCTAGCATAATACTAGGGTTGTTTTGGCGATGAATGCTAGCTTTTTGTGTCCTACTAAAGTTATGGACATTTTTGAAAACCTTATGTAATTAAATAAATGGTTTAAAAGGAATAAAATATTGACAATATTTCAGTATCATTAAAACAAGCAAATAATAATAATAATAATAATAATAATAATAATAATAAATTCATAGAAACAAATTAGTCCTATTTTGAGAATAAAATAATATCCATGCCCTTATTTTAAAAAATGTGTTATGTTTTTTCTCCAATTTAAGTAATTTTCTCTATCAATTAAGTTTGTGCATTTAGAATAGTTTTACTCCGTATTATTATGTCAAACTACCTACAATAGTTTTAATTATTTGTTATGTCAATAATTGTGTCCTCAATAGTTTTGAAGACCTTTTAATAGCAATTTTAACAAATCGACATTTGGACACTATTTCATCTTATGATGTCTTAGATTGGAAAGAATTGAAGGTTTCTACCGGCTTAGTTGTACTAAGACTGTTGGTCCAAAATAGGACGTTCGTAGGCTTTTAGAAAAGCTACGTAAGAACACTCAAGCAGGAATTAGGAAAGTACGAATATGGAAAATTACAAAGTGATTTAGTTGCCAGAAATAGCATCTAGAATTCCCCCCTAATATGAATTACAAGCCGCCTTTTATAGGCGTATACAAATCGTAACAGCTACCGATAATAATGACTAATTAAATACAACATTAATACATAATTAAATACATAATTAATAGCGCATTAATTGCTTAACCATTACTCTTCCGTGCTGGGAGGTCAGCCGGACTGGCAGGCTCCCCGCTGGGCTGGTAGACGGGCTCCAGGTTGTGGACTTGGATACACGGGTCTAAGTTCGGGGCTTGGGCTGATTAGGCTCTGGGCCTAGTCCCATTACTCCATCACGAGTCCCTCACTCCCTTAGTCGAGTCGTAGACTCGGCTAAGAAGGAGTAGTCCAAGTCAGTTGCTCTTCCCTGAGACTAGAAGATCCCCACCCTTGTCCGTGTTGGGGAGATGCCTCATTAAAAACCTTCATTAGGAAAAAAACCCAATGGGAAAAATTCCTAATGAAGGGAAAAAGAGTACATCTGATGCCCCCAAGATGAAGCAAGAGGGGAGATCCTCAGCCTTTATTGCAATGGTCGCCATCTGCGAATAGGATGGCTAGAAATGTTCTTCTCGTTGTGCTCAGACTCGTCAGGTTCGTCATTTGCTTCCTTGAAGACGGTAAGACCCTCAGTCCCCACTTCATTCAGTTGTACCTACACATAAAAGAAACTAGTGTAGAATAGAGCATCTGGCCTGGTGTCGAACCACGGCTCAGTATGTAAGTGAGTCGGACTCACTACTTGAAAAGAGTGACATCAAGTTCCCAAGTTAGGCCTCAACCCAGTCTCCGAAAGAAAGATTGAATCCGCGAGTAAGTGAGGTGGACTCCTCACTCGAACGGATAATCCAACCCCAAAGAACTAAAGTATATCAACCTTTTCGAGAAATGTGAACGTCAATTAAGTGACAAAATTGCTCGGAAAAGCGTGGCTCTAGGCCACTAACAAGAGTTTAACTCGCCGCCCGAGGTTAGTAGTTCGAACCCGCAAGTAAAGACTTTTGAACGGGTGACTCGTCCCCCGAGGTCGGAGTGTGATGCACTAGGAAGAGGTAAGAGCACGCAAGAACCCGTAAGAAGTCAAGAGTATGAGGTATTAACATTTAGATTGGAGCTTATTAATCGTCACACCCATATGACGTGACCCGGTGGCGCGAGTGTGTGTGCTCAGCCATTATACGAGTGTGTGTGCTCATCCGGCGTACTTGAGTGATCAGATGTCATAAGTCTGTTGTTCAATGTTAAAATTACACACATTTAACAAGAGTAAAAGCAATCATATCACTTAAAATATGTTTTCAAATGTTTCAATTTATGATTTTTTTTGTAATGTTATTTATATATATACCGAGTATATATAATAAATAAATTAAGGATGAGGAACTTAGCTTTTAAATTATGCCGAAGCTTTGTGTGTTTAAAACTGTGGTGGTAGATTCTATGGTACCCATAAGATACCATACTTATTTTTTAAATGGGTACCGGAGTTGTCACCAACTATGGTTGCTGAAATTGGGCTCAATGTAGTCTTGGCCCACCTATTTTGACTTGAGCCGGACCTTTGCTTAGGAGAA